TGATTCTCTCTCATCATGGATGTTTCTGTCTCTCTCTCCCTCTCCCTTCCTCTCTGAAATCAATAAAAATATATACATATTTTAAGAAAGGAATTAGAATATTGCGAAACCATGACTTCTCCATAGATTTTGGCGGCCTCTGGGACCTGTTTCACCCATGGCGGAGGAAAAATAACGCCGACCCCTGACCCTCCTTTCTCCTACCCTCACCAGAGATGACTTATGAAAACCGAAACTGGCCATTACACGGGATAAAACTCATGTTGTGTGTGTTGCATACTATTTACAGCTGTTGTCTCTTAGGGGTTCTCTGGGGTACCGTTGGCTGCTACAGCCAAACGGTCCCGTAAGTTTAACTCAGCACTCTGGCCGCAAAGTCCTCCTAAATCACACAGAGGAGGAGAGGAAAATCGACGAGACGTGGCTCGAATGCCGCTTATATCTTCCCGAGAACCCACGGCTCTCTTCATTCACGCCTTCAGGAGGCTCAGAACAGCCTGCCAGGCCAGTGGTTCTCAACCTTCTGGCCCTTTCAATACAGTTCCTCATGTTGTGACCCAACCATAACATTATTTTCGTGGCTGCTTCATCACTGTCATGTTGCTACTGTGATGAATCGTCATGTACATATCTGATATGCAGGATGGTCTTAGGCGACCCCTGTGAAAGGGTCGTTCGACCGCCAAAGGGGTCGCGACCCACAGGTTGAGAACCGCTGTGCTAGGTGGTGGGGCTCATTACAACATAGCAGATGACCCGCCTGACCCTCCAAAGGGAAGTTATGGTTGACGCCGATTTGTAAGCGCAGCCTTGAGCTTATTGACTAACGCACAGGGGGCGGGGGGGGGGGGCGGGGGGCGGGAGGGGGGCGGGCAATGGTCTAAAAAAGAGAGCGGCCTGCGGCGTTGAGAATTTACAGCAGCTTAAGCTATTTTTTTTTTTAATTTCTCCTTGTCGGGCGGGGAGTACTCCCAGTGTCGCTCAATGGGCTGTAAATGAACCTAGTTCAAAACCCACAAGGCGAGCTGTGGAATTATAGGACTGAAAATAGGCTACGGATCGGCACTGGCTCATCAGGCCTCTTTATTCTCTGCAGCCCTTTTGTTGGCGGGCCAATGCCGCTCGCTCCGGAAGGCGGAAAAAAGGGATTGTGAGCAAATGGGGGAGCGGGGGGAGCTGACCTTCAGTTAACATCCACTGTGCCTTTCTCCCCCGCGCCCTACCCCCGCTGTGCCGACTTAGTAAGTTCAGTTAGCAAATCACGAGTCTTACGTGAAGAACACCCAACCCAATGCTCAATTTCTTGAGAAGGGTGTGTCGCTCATCTCGGGTAGGAAGTGGTGAGGCAGGGCCCTGGCTGGTGTGGGTCAGTGGATAGAGCACCGGCCTGCGGACTGAAGAGTCCCAGGTTCGATCCCGACCAAGGGCACAGGCCCGGGTTGCAGGCTCAGTCCCCGGTGGGGGCGTGCAGGAGGCAGCCGATCCATGATCTCTCTCATTGATGTTTCTCTCTCTCTCTCTCCCTCT